GTCAAAAACGGTTTTAGTTGTAATACTATAAATGTAATATTTGTTGTCTGTCATTAGCTACGTTTACATGGACAAAAGTAATCAGATTAAACAACCGTTCGGAATAAAAATGCGTCATATAAACAGCCCGTTCGGATTATTCTGATCCGATTGAGCTCGATCCGAATGAATTTTTAATCCGAATGAAAAGGGTGGGTTATGCCGACTGATAATTGGAATGAGGTTCATGTAAACACTTAATCGGATCATCTTATTCTGATTGTAGAAAACTGACCTGTGCGCTTGTCTGCTGACTTTCATCCTCCCGGTGGGACAGCAGCGCTCCAGCTGTGCAACACCGTGCAGAACTTTCCCTCCTCGCTCTCTTAACAGATGAAAAAGGAGGCAAACAGCAGATGTTGCTTCGCAAAAAATAAAAATAAAAAGCACGTATTGCTTCATCTGCAGGCTGCAGCTCAACCGATGAGATGAGTAACGACGTCTCTACCGTTATTAAAAGCCGACATGGGTCCGACCTCAGCGCACAGAGGAGCTTTGTTTACGGTTGTAACACGGAAGTAGAGCTGAACGTTTACAACACTGCGCATGTCCGGACTTTTTTCGGAATAAAACTCTGGTGCATGTAAACACTTTTCATGATCAGATTTTGTCCATGTAAACAGTATATTCAGATTATTTGATTTGAATACATTTCAATCCGATTAAAACATTTTGTGTATATAAACATAGCTGGTATAATTTTACTTATTAAAGCTCATAATCTTACCATTTGAAACATCACTAGCCCTGAAGCTGCTGGTAGACATCACGGTTGGAATTATCAAAGGTTTTTTGACATCTGAGAGACACCGTAGCGTTTGGAAGTGGGGGGTGGGGGTGGGGGAAGGACCATGGAGTATGATTCAACCACTCAACCACTAGATGTCGCTGAAAACAGCAAATCCTACACACTGTGCCTTTAAGAAAATTAATGAGTAAAGTTTCTTAAACTTTCATTGTACTTAGGAATCAAAAGTAAATTTCTGATATAAATGTACTTAAGTGTCAAAGTAAAAATATTAAGTTAAAGTGAGCAGTCAGAATTTCCACAATGACATTTACTGGGAGGTGACCTCCCCCAAAATAACATATTTCTAAAAGCCGTAATGAATATAATGTTATATTAAAATGTTAATGTTGAAAAATCTGGGATGCACTAGTCTACCTGTTTAATCTGCATATACAGTATATCTCCGCTACAGTCATCTACAAACATACTTTCTAACACAATTGTGTTAGAAAAAGATGCGTCACCATAATAGGGATAATTAAAAAAAAGTGTTGCACTCAATTAAATATTTGTCTCTTTTTTTCTTTTTTCACCCTGTTTCTCAGGATCTGCTAGTCGTCGATGTATGCTGGACAATAACGGAGTTGCTTTCTGGGGTCCTCCGAGCTTCGCCAGATGCGTCTCACTTGAATATAGATATTTACGTCTATCTGTAAGTTCCTGTTTTTTAGATCAGTATTATCAGTTACAAAATCTCTTTTTTAAGGACATTTGGTAGATTATCAATGCTTTTTAGCAATAAGGCTTATACCATTGTAAAGTCTATTTACTGTATGTCCATGTTAAATGATGCCACATTTGCGAGGAACATGCAATTGTGGGATGAGCAGTAGAGCTGAGTATGTGGGTTTTGCACATGAAAGATTTATCAGAGCTTCTCTGCCAAACAGATTATTTTGCTGTTGCTATTAGAATTTAGTTCGGTCTTCTGGTACCCTGAAGTGCTGCCAATCAGTTGTCCAGTATAAGATTTATTGCCAAAAAACAATGTTTCAACCAACACAAATTTAAGCATTTATATTTGTACACATGTCAAATACAGCGGGTAAAATAAGTATTGAACACGTCACCATTTTTCTCAGTAAATATAGTTACTAGAGGTGCTAATGACATGAAATTTTCACCAGATGTCGGTAACAACCCAAGTGATCCATACATACAAAGAAATCAAACCATAAATGT